GACCCAAAATTAACTTGAACCATTTTTGAAATGTACTTAAAATCAAATTAGAAAACAGATGTGAAAGTGTTGGGCAGAGTTAAATCAAATCAAGTTTTCACTCACTACACAATTTAAAAAAAAATGCATTTGTATGAATTTAATAACATTTTAAAATAATATATTTTCTTTTGTTCTGTGCGGGTCTCCATTAAGGTCAAAAGTCTAAGCAATTTGCTGCAGAGCTCCTACAAGGCTTCACACAACAATAAATAAATAAACAAAAGTCTAGTCTTGCAAGTCAATGATGATTGTTTTTTTAATTTATTTATTTACCTATCTTTACATGTTTATGTATACAAACTATGTTGAACAGAAATAGGAGGGAAGAAAAAATGGAGAAAAAAAAAAAACTGTCTCAACAAACTAATTTCTATTTTTTCCCCTTTCCACAAGCACACAAAGTGTCTATCAATATTTTATATTTTACATGCAGGCCTACAATGACACACAATGATAAAAAATACAAACAAAATGATATCAGTATAAGTTATTAGCACACAGCAATTAGAAGAGGAGGGCATTAATGTTAAATGAGACATTGTAACGGTCAGTGGGCAAACCTAGTAGAGACTGTCCAGGGTGATTCTTTTGAGTTAATATATAACATTACTTAAGTAGATTGAATGTGAGCGTGAGTTTGGGGAGGGGGGGGAGAGAGCATTTTTAAAGTTTAAACAAGGCTAGATTTTGTCAAGGTACCCCATTGGTAGCAGTCATTTCATTGTAGCAAGTTTGGTAAATTAACACATTTTTATACAAAGGTTTATCTCATTGGTCAAAAACACTGGTTTTATGTTTTCCTACACTTTAATAAGCAGGGGGAGAAAAATCATGAAATAATCTTTGTTAATTGAAAAGCAATAATTTTTAATGCAAGAAATATCAACCATTATATGAGCTGGTTAATCCTAAAGCCAATGACCTGAAAATCTGAACTTTTATTTAATTAAAGAGGTGGTGTGAAAATTTAAGGAAAATTCTTGTGTAATTCTTTTAAAAAATTAAAAATCTTACCTCTCTTTAATTCTTCAACAACATGCAAAATAAAACATTTCAAATGTTCTCTAATTTTTTGAAAGTCCCAAACTTTATAAGGATCTTAAGGCCTACACTTTTTAAAGAATTTCCCAGAATTCTATAAGAAAAAAAATTAACAAAAATGAAAGTCTAATAAAAATTTAAAATCACTCATCTCAATAATGTTTAATAAATTAATCCAGTAAAATGTCCAGTGCATTATATTTTCATATTACCAAAATGATAAAAACACAATAACAATATATGAAATTGTATATTAGTTGAGGTGTGATATTCTTATTTATATTTCTCACCAAGAAAATCGGTTTGTAACAAGTGTTAAAAAATAAAAAAAAAATTTTTTTAATTTAAAAAAAAAATTAAATATTGCTAGAACTGTGATGCACAGAAAATAGACACCAGAATTTACCTTATTTGTAAAATGTGTAAAGTCTGTTTAATATTGTTTTTGACCAGAAAATTGGCCTAATATACCTGATAGTTGTGATTGACACTCTATAGGACTGCCAAACACTAAAATATAAAAATTTATATGAGAGTTATAGAACCACTTTCTATTAAGATGCAGACACACTCTAACTGCAACATACATATATATATATATAGCAAAAATATCCCTCTCTGCTCACTAAGTGAATATAATTATTTCACATTAAAAATCAAAGACATCTATTTCAAAAGTGTGATTAATTCTCACTCAGTGAATATTTTATTCTGGTGGACTCATTTAAAATTATCAGAAGTAATGTAAATATACAATTGCAAAAATCTCATGCAGCACATACAAATTTTTTTTTAAAAATCACAACACAAAAACAATGTACTGTTAATGAAAAATTAGTAATCTGAAATCGTTACTAAAATATTACACCATCCTCTGCTGATGCTCTCATGCTATGCTATAGATTTCTTGATAAAGTATATTTGGACCAGACCATGGACATTGCAACACATTATGTCAGTGGTTTCTAAATTTTACTTTACTGCAGCCCATTTTAAAAAATAAATCTTAACAACCTTAAACAGCCGTCCCCCCATTTAAAACAAATTCTTGGTCCCCTTCACCCCTACTTTCATTACACAATATAAGCACATTTAAAGAATTATATTTTTGAACTCCTCCTGCTTCCTAAGCATATGTGATGGATACAAATTAAACTACAGTATTTAATTGTCTATGCCTAGAAATAGAAACAGAAAATCCAGGAACGAAAATTTTCAACTACTATAAATAAAACAATTTGACCAGAATTTCCAAGAATCAAATGTATACAATTTAAACCACATTGTAAACAATCAGAAATGCACTGCAAAAAATCTTTCCAGTCTTTAATGAAGAAAATGCATATAATGAATTGTTTGTGCTTCAATAATAGAAGAAAGAAGGTTACAAATTTGAAAATTCATGCACCTTTCATTGTCCTCTTATGAAACTCACAATAGCAATTTGAATAGCTAACTCTATTTCTTTTCCTTTAACCAAAACAAAGTTACATACTGGTACTTTGACTTTCATTCTGTACAGATATTACAAGATCAAGTTTTTTTTGGATGAAGCAGATTTTTTTTTTAAATACCCAAATCCATTATAAACAGCCCCATGCTTCCACTCAAACCTTCAAGTTCTGTATTAGGGTCAGTTGCATTAGAATATCTAAAAGCAGTTTGAGCAACGTCAATGGCATAACAAATTGTTTAGTATAATCTGTTTTTCTTCAAAGAATGCAATTTGAAGCTAGATGACAGGATCAGTATAGAGATACCAGGCAGCCATTCTGATAGTTTAACAGGAAATTCCTTCAAGTTGGGGATTAAATGTCTTGGGAGTGGCTTATAAAATTAAATTTAAGAAACAATTATGGAGAAAATTCATTGTGAAAAACCAAACCATTGATGCTAACTAAAGCAAAGCTAGCATGCTGACATCAGATATACTTTATCATCTTGGAACATAGCAGTGTAGTCAAGGGTGGTTCTGTAATCTCTGACTTAAACATGCTATTTTGGCTTTTGGTTCAGACCAATGTCTTAGTTTCTAAGACACTAACAAGGGAATGAGCTGGTTAATCCTAAAGGTAGGGGAGGATCTGGTGTCAACCTTAGTTTGGAGCTGACTGACTCTGCCACCAAGCTGCCCAAATCCTTTATATAAATAAATTCAATATTTCCAGGAAATGCCTAATCCTTGTGGGTGCTGTGTATTGTAAAACAATAAAAACAATTTTTTTGCAGCTTGAAATTACTTGTATAAATAACTGATTTACATTTTAACACAGAAAATAAAATAAATTATTGCAATATAAAATAGGGAGGACATTTGTTGTTGTTGTTGATCAGACCAAACTATCATGTTCATGTTGCACTTAATTTAAATATCTTTAATGGATAGAAATAAACTCCAACTAAGCATCACATCCATAAAAATTGCCTAGTGAAAAGATTTATAACAGATGGGTTGGTATTTTAAAATTCTCAGTTGGGCAAATCATCAACATAGAATTATGGCCATGAAACAAATCAGGAGAAAGTTCTTCAAGTCCTGACGTGAGATTTTCCATAATTACCTTTTACAATTAAAAAAAACATTAACAGGAAATTATTTGTGCAATTCGTTGGTTTGAAGCTTACAAAGAATTTAACTGAATTTGAAAATATGTTTAGATTTGAAGGTATAATTTTGAAAATATATTATTATTTTCTTTCAAAATTGCGAAGATAAGTTATTTTAAAAAAATGAAAATTAACAACAAGGTTTCCATATACTGGGGTATAGATAAACTTTAAAACAATCCTTTAGGGGCAGAAAAATATTTAAAATTATATAGTTTCTTAAAATACGTTTTAAAAAAAAATCATCAGGATAATTTCTACCTTAGTACCTAGCTTCATTAATAACATTTAATAGGATGCAGCTAGTTTATGGGCACGAAATAATTATGTCATTTAAAACAGGAATTTAAAAAAAAAAAAAAAAAAAAAAAAAAAAAAAAAACAACAAAAAAAAAAAAAAAAAAAAAAAAAAAAAATAAAAAAAAAAAAAAAAAAAAAAAAAAAAAGAAATCCAGCACCAATTGTCAGTTTTACATTAAAAATAAAGTTGTAAGTAGTCCAAAATGCACATTGTATTTACAAGATATTTAAAAACAAGTTAAGAAACATTCACACTATTTTAGTGTGTGACAAGTATTTTTTATACTGCAAACGTTTTCAATTGGATACTTATCCTAATAACTATACTTTTTGTTCAAGATTTCTGTAGCTCTTGTGTGTCAATATAAGTGAGTTAAACCCTAGAATTTCACATCTCTTCCTCTTAAGTTGTCTATATTTTCATTTTTTTTAAAATTGTATCTCAGAATTAGTTTTCTGTCAAATGAATTAAAAATATGAAAATTATTCTGAGCTTCTTTTACCTCAAGAAAATTGAGTTGTTTCTTTTTTCATTTTAAAAAAATGCATTTGCTATTTTATGCATAAACATAAATTTTTAGATAGTGTGTTTATATTGCAGAACTATTCATATATGAATTATTCAATAAATTAATGAAAACTATTCATTAATGCTTACCCATCATTCTTATGCTTTAGTAAAATAGTTTCCATTCATTCATTGTGAGCTAATATAACTAAACTAGAGCTAACTAAAATTTCATACAAACTGATGTTTAGTTCTGGAGATCAAGACCAATAAAAATTTATGAAGAAATGTTTATGGGAAAAGAAATCTTTTCAGACAAACATAATGGAGCTTGTCGACTGAATATATTTAAAAAAAATTGAGCTCTCTCTACATTTAGTTCACACAAGATACTAGAAATTGCAATTAAATCAACCACACTAAAGTGAACTAGATGTTTTTACTTAAACAAACTGCTTTAATCTTACATAAAATTTCATTTTAAATGCATCCATTTTATGTCAAACAAATTCTTAATTAAAATTATAACTACAGAAAATAATGAAAACATAATTAACATTTTTTAAATCCTTTGCAAAAAAACTTGCAAGAGGATAAGTGTTTCAGAATAAAATGCAATGAGGAAAGAATACTTTTACAAGCACATATTTTATAAGTTATAACTCATTTGAAAGAATCATCTCCCAAAGGTTTGTATTTCAAATTGGACATTATTAACTGTTTCTAAGAATTCCTATCTAAAACCATAGAATTGAAGTGAGCTCCCTAACAGTCAGCTATTTCCTTCCCCATTAAAAAAAGAAATCTCAATTGAAGAGCTGAAAGTAGGTGAGCAATATATTATTTAATATTAACATATATTATTTCATGTCTAACAGATAAAAAATGATCATGTCCTTACAATCTTGATGTCGCTGAAACAGGTTAGTTTAAAATACTTTTTTAAAATTTGTTGAATCTCTTTGAAACAATTAATGCACAGTAAAATGTATTTAAAGCTCAAAAAAAACTTTAATGCATAAACTTAGCAATTGTGAGACCAAAACATAAATCAAATTATTCAACTATTTAGAAATTGACATAATTAATTTCACCATATTCTAAAACCAGGTAAGCTATCTTTCGTGATAGTTTTGTAATCAAATGATTTTTCTTTTCTTTTCATTTTTATCTTTACATCTAAAAAAATGTATTTAAAAAAAAGAACAAGCCAAGGAATCAAATAATTTGAAAAACAGTTTCTGAAAATGAAACGGGCATCACAAAATTATAAGATGAATGTCACAAAAAGACAGAAGATGGATGATTCATTTATTGGTGCTGTACATTAGCAGGGTACTTTCATCACTCATCGTAACAAGGTACTTTCATCATCTGAATGTTAGCAACTTAATGGTGACCACACATGACAGGGCTGTGAGGAGAAATTGTAAAGCTATATTACAATATGTCAAGTTAAAGTTATAATTGGGATGTGCTCTTAAATTAACATGTTTTTATTTCCACAATATGTGTAAGTAAGGGAATGGCCCATTATTATTTGTCCTGGGGTCTTTAAGAAGATCCAGGGAATGTTGAGACAGCAATGTTTTAGCCAACAATTTTCAAACTTCACTGTCTATAATTCAATATTGTCAAACATAATTTTGATGAGCAAGTGGCTGTTTTTATTTTTGGCTGGATAGTAAACCTGACCGCTCCCTAGTAAACTTATAATCTACTTACTGTAGCAAACGATGGCAAGTGACTGTGGCTTGACTCCCACAATTACATTTCTAGAGAACCAGACTTCGTCCAGACTGTTGAGTACAAAGCCAAGGACAAGCAACACAACAGCCAAAGCAAAGTTGGTTATAACTGCAAGGAAAGGCACAACAAAGGTTTCTTGTTTAAGAATGAGTTGGCTTTGCTTGGGCATGGAAACGAATGACACATCATTATCAACTAATTAAATATAACTACCCTGTAATACAAGTTGATAGTTATTGCTTTAATTGTGCATCAATGATATTGGTTCCCTGTAATTTTAAAACTGAAGTAAAAGAACAACCTGATAATTCATTGAGTAATTATTATAAAATTTGTTGAGGAAGAGAATAGCCTCACCACCGCTTGCACCAAGTCTCAGTATGAGGGAGGATGGTTTGGGTTTTAAGACAATAACTAATTAAATGTTAAATAATTTGCACTGACCTTGTCTCCGTTTCCCTCTCCTCCTTGAACTGGAGCTACTGTGACCCGTGTCACTGGAGGCGTAACTTGTGTGAATGCTGCCTGAGTGTGGGTAGTCACTGAGGGGATTTGCTTCCGTCATGTCAGAGAAAGAGACTGACCCCGATATAGATGGAGTCCTCTCCCTCTCAAAACCAGATTGAAATACCCTGATCTTGACTGCACGATAACCTGAAAAAAAAATCAACTTCATTTTATTCAGTGTCTCTATGGTAATCAAGGCAACACCTCAATGCATAATTCATTCACCACAATCATATTTTCATCATTCTTTTATCATGATCAGTCATCTGGAAAAAAAAATCACCAGAAAAGAATGGTATAATTCTTTCATTTATTACTTTTACTAAAGAATGAACACCCTATTCAGGAAATTTACTTTCTTTCAATTTACTTTTTTCAGATTACGGCTCTCTCTCTTTGGTTTAAATCTGAACATGAGCTGAAGCATCTACTTCTGTCACCAGTCTCAAAGTCATTGCTGGTATTGAGTTTATTACTGAAGGTGAGGACCTGGCTAAACTATCCACATGAGTTTTATACTTTCAAAAACATATACTATTTCATATGGGAGGGCTAAAACTAATAACAGTAGTTAAATTTAAAATATCAATCTCTTGTCAATCTTAAGTTAAAACCTTGGCTTTAAACTTCAGTCTTTTTTAAAATGGTGATGAATGCAATTTAACAGTTCAGGGAAATAACTAAAGATGTCTTCCCAAAAGCCAGTGTGGCTTGAATGGAAAATTTTTACAAAAGATCACAGCAAAAGGGCAAAATTCTCAGAAGCTTGCTATTAATAACATGACAGAATCTCAAATGGTATACCTAAATGAACCATTGATATAATGTTCAATCCAACCTAGCACATGGCCCAATTAGATAACAACTGCATGAAACTAAGGCTTATCACACACAGAACATTATACCCAGGACTCAGTGGTTCTCAAAAAACCATCAGATGTTAATTTTGCTATGAACCCCACATTTCTATAACATTAATGAGGAACTTGCCTATATACTGCTGTGCACGTGGCTTCTGGCCTTGCCTAGGGCGAGACCACCTGAAAAATCTCACTTGTATGTCATCCTCTGATGTTTCATTTTTGGAGACACAAGTGATTTCACTAAGATAAAAAAGGTATAGCCATCTATTAAACACTAAGACTTATTAACACTTGACAATGGAATTAAATAAGTTATAAATAATTTATTTCTCCATAATAATTGATAAATATTGTTTACATTCAGGGATTTATGGATATTTAATGAGTAACTGAAATAAAAAATAAATTACAAGACTCACATGTATATTTTTTGCCGACTGCAGACCACCCCTTGTGTGAGGGATACCTTGTATCTTTCAGGATGTGCATTATCAACTGTTTTCAATTAAAAAAAACAACAAAACAACTACAAATTATTATTTTTTAAATATCAAAACTAAAATTTGGTAGACTACATTTGTAAATATGAAAAAACTTGAATTTACTAGATATGATTTCTACTTTTATCTTAATAACATCAAAACTCAAAAATTCAGTAAATAAAAATTATAAATCTAAAAAATAATATTAAAACTTGAATTTAGTAGATAACATTTCCACTTTTATTTTAGTAATATCAAAGCAATAATTCAGTAGATACAATTGACAGATTTTAGAAAATAATAACAAAACTTTTGCAGTATTAGTATTTTTTGTGAGTAAAGAAGAACAAAACAGGTTTTATGCAGGGATTAAAATTAAATGCTAATAATATAAGATTATGTACTGGACGAAAATAGGAGAAAGCAAATAATTTTTGAATACACTGTTGAATTCAAATCAATACCTTTAAATAAGACATCTTGAGGAAAGGGATTGAAGACCCCAAGGCTCTGTGTCAATAGACTTCCATCCAAGGTAAAGGTCACAGCTGTGGGGTTGACGTAAGGAACAGGGGTGGTCGGCATCTAGCCTTGTACCGCCATGTAGTTCAGGAAATAATTGTCGAATGGATATCCCAGGATGTTAGTGAAGTGTTTTTTGTACCTAACCAGCTGTCATCATGGTGAATTTATAGTTTTAAGTCTTCACTACATTTGTTTTCTATAGGAAGCAAAAAGTAACCTATAAACATTGCTGCAATAATATTTGTAAACTGTTCATGTTTCAATCAAAAATGAAAACTATGATTTTAAATTGAACATGAATCTATTGAAGTCATTACCTGACAGTGAATATATATAATTATGATAGGATTCAATAAATTTCTTTCTCTGCAGCAGATTTTACCTGTCTGCACTCCAATTCTAAGTTTTTTAAATGATGTCTTCACTTCTTTGTTCCATGTTGTACATTCTAATAATAGTAAGTTAGTAACTTTTATTGTGTCTGATTTCAAGATTTGATATACTATTTATTATATTTTTCCGATCTTTTTCAAAAAAGTTTTAAGATCAGGCATATCAGGCACTTCAATATCTATAGCCATGATAAATTAATATTATGATTAGAAGTATAAGATCATAGGCATCACATCAATCTTTTATGTTATTTTACATTCTGCTATACTATAACACCTCAACTAACATTTGATGCTTAACAAAATTTAAAACAATGAAAATTATTTAATTTTTTTGTTTACCGACAATTAATTAATTTTGTTCTTTAAATTTCATACCCGGTAGCTCCCTTCCTCCTTGTAATTACTCCTTCCTGGTATTGATGGCATCAGGCTATGTACCATTCACCTTTCAAATACTGTCTGATGGAAATGGAGGTCATTTTAGTGCGCCAATTATTCATTGTAACTATTGAGTTAAATCTAAGTCTAAGAATTGGTCTAATAACTCAGTGACTGTCAACCTTTTTGTAATGGGGCAAACTGAACAAAATTATTCATCCTTGCGGAAAACCTGTTACATAATTCCAGATAATTTTTTATTGGTATCTAGGAGCCGATGGTGTGGTTTTTGCTGAAATTTGTGTATTACAAACCCAGGATTTTGTAATGGATCATTCAGTAGTTTGCCCTTTTCCAAGGAATGATGAACCCAACAGAACATCAATTTTATGATAGTTGATATAGCTTGGCACCAGGGGCTGGTGAAACTTTCAATTAGTTAATTTCATAACACCTACTTAACTATACATCTGGATTTCTCTGCTGGAGTTGTTTTCTGAAGCATTTTTCAATCGGTTTGTAGCCGCATGGCAGTGGAGGTTTTCAATCAAGAGTTTAAGATGAGCCCCAACCACTCATAGTTAAGGTGTTTAGTTTTGGGTTGTCTTGGTATTGAACTCAAACCCACACTGGATTGCAAGCATGGCCATTTACTCACATCTACACTTAAACAAAGTATTATGAAAGACAGCAGTGAACAGAAGATTCATCTCCATATCACTTAGATATGACGATGGTATTTACTTGATCGGCTGGTAAACTGTTGAAAGTTGGCTGTCTTCAACTACTACTCACTTTTCCATGAGGATTTACACAAAAAGTATGCCTAATCTCAGACGAGCTCCTAGTGATCAGCAGTGTTAAGCAAGGCTGCACTCTAGCACAAACCCACGTCACAAGAGTGCCTGAGGCTGAGAAATTTGTCACAAGTTTATTTTTTTCTTCAAAGCTATGAAATAAAAGAATGGGAAATTCTCCTTGCCGTATTGAAGGCAAAGTTTGATTTTCATATCGCTACTTTCGACTTGAGTTTCAAAAATTTGATGAGTATGTTGTTGCTAGAGTTTTTTTGAATTCCAAGGCAGAGATTAGGACAATGCAAATAATGATGTATGAAGAGAAGCAGCCATTAGTCTTTATTGTAAGACACATTACAAATCTTAGTTTTGACGTAGAATATCCTCCTTGTTTCCTTTGCACTTTTGAATCAATCGAACCAGTGTTTAATAAAATGCATAATGTCTACTGAGTGGTGGCATTCAGGGGTCCAAAGAGGCTTGGGCAATTCATATCTGGAATCCATGAATTTGTGACAATGTGCAAAAAAAATGTTGTGATACAAATTTGTGAATTTTTTTTGGGGGGGGGGGGGGGGGGGGGGGAAAAATCAGCTTATATGTGAAAAAAACCATAAGCCCTTGAGCCTAAAGCTCATTAGACCCTCCCCAATGTGTCCTCTTTTCCCCCCAACCCGAATAGTGGAATCTTCGGGCTGTGAAGCGGCACTTTGGAAGCATTCACCGCTGAGACAGCCCCACCCGCCGTCCACTCAACTGACCAGGCAAGTTGGGCAATATCAACCAAGGAGCACCTGTTGGTTGGTAGTGCTGCTCTTGCTAATCAGCTAAATGGTATTATGTAATTTATGGATTACACAAAATGTTAAAATATAAATTCTCTATATTACTAAATATTACTTAACAAATAAATTATGTTAGTTTGATAATTTTCTTTAATGATAATGTGATTAAGTCACATGCTTGTTGTGTTGACCAGGATAGCGGCAAAACTTTCTAACTGGTGATAGGAGAAGTTTTTCCCCAAGGCATATACTTATACTCAACCCACATGATGTGGCACTTAAGAATTTGCATAAACAAGTCATTGTTTGAACCCATAAAATTAATTATGGTAGCCTAAGACTAAGCCTAGTAAATTTAGTAATATTTAACTAACAAACTACAAACATAGTTAGTTAATAGTTAATAATAGGCCTAGCCCTGAATAAACAATAGCCTAGATAACTTAAACTTTAAGGCTTAAAGTCAATAAATTAGACCTAAATTAAATTAGTATGGGGCCTAATTTTACAATTTCAATTCAATTTCAATTTAATTAGTATTAGTTCAATTAGTTATAGTTATATTTATTGTAGTATGTCAATGTCTATTTTTAGACTAAATAATTTTAAGTAGGCCACCGACTATTAATGTTTCATAATTTTCAATTTAACATCTTATAAAACAGCAACAAAAACCTACCTAATTAAAACAGGAGAAGTAAAACTCTTTGTGTAAAGATTTGGATGTTTACTTATGTTGACCTAAAAAATTGAGCTAAACACCATCAGCTGGGAGTTTGTTTTGGTATGTGTACTGCGTAAAACGTCATTAGTTAAAGAAGGTTTCTCTAAAAGTCGAAATATATATCCATCTTTATGGTATTCAGAAAAAAAAAAGTTTTTTAGTTTTATCCAATTTCAACATCGGATAATAACAGCTTGAACATAGTACTTCATTGCCGGCAACAACAATGGATATTTCTTGAGTTGTTTACTGTGCTCTGTTCCTTGTGATATTTTCATTTGTCCTGTGCGCTGAGGAAGGCTCTATGCCGAAACGTTCTAATCTTATTGTTCTGTCCTTAAATTTAAGCGTCCACATACGTCGTTTTCCTATTGAATTTACTTAGCTTGAATGCAGTCCTTATATTTTAGTCGTTGAACATAGCTTGTTCATCTTCGAATGTAAACGACGAAAAACAACATTAAGTCACGAAGTATACCTAATTTTAAAATAATCTCCATAATTTATTATTATTGTTAACGACCGTCCACAGACAATATAGGGGCTCCTTTTATCATTTTGTTATATTGTGTTATATGGGGTGGGGTATAGAGCAATTTTATTTTGTTGTGTAACTATTCTTTTATTTTTTAAAAAAATTAATTCTTTTAATTTTTTTCCCTCAAAATTCTTCTTTTCAAATTTACAAAATTAGCATGAGTTAATAATAATTAAAAACACCCCCCCCCCCTTTTTTACAATAATTAACTTCAGTATGTATGACTGACGGTTATTGTTGTGTGTATTGATTGAACTTTGTGACGTGATTCGCCTGTGTTGTGGTCATGTTGTATAACTGTACGTAGGGGGTGAGTTGTTTCATGAATATTTAAACGTAAATGTGTGAATATTGGATGGAGAATTGGACTGAGTGATCATGTGATGTGAGGTATAAAAAGGATGTAGAATGATGAATAAAGGTTAGTTGTTACACAGACCACAGACTTGAGTTGATATCTTATTGCACTATTACAAGTATCTTTGATGAAACCGAACTGCATCACAAATCCTAAAAAATTACTGTCTAATTTGGGAATCCTTTCGGTAAAAGTAGCTGAATCAAATCGAGTGGGTGTTTGTAATAGAACTCCCCCCCCCCCAAAAAAAAATGCTCAGTTTTACATTACTCAAATGAATGTATGTTTCCAACCCGTTACGTGCCACTGGCTGCACATCATTCGATTGCTGATCAGTGCGGAAGAAAGAATGCGTAACTATAGCACTTCGTTTTTATTTTTCACCACCCATTTAGCCATCATTGACATCAACATAAATAGATGCCAACAGTGTCTAAGTTACATCCCTCTGTCTGTCCGGCCTCTGAGAAATAGCAAGTAATAAAACAAGCGAAACTAGGTCACATGGTCTTGTTATTGCGCCCCCCCCCCCCCCCCCCCCCCATTTCCAGTACCTGGATATCGAACAGCAATAGAACAATAACACATTAGACATCAACAGAAGGATGCGATGTCCCAATCTGTCTGTATTGCTCAACATAATGATGCGATGTCCCAATCTGTCTGTATTGCTCAACAGAATGATGCGATGTCCCAATCTGCCTGTATTGCGATGGGAAGGAATATTCTAACGATAAAAAAAACATTCCACCAGTTTTACCCACCAAACTGTATTTTCTTCTTTGTAATGACTTATTACAATACGTGTATCTCGCAGACGTGCCACTGTTTGGTCTAATTAGCTGCTTAGAATGAGACGGTGAAACAAACCACTTTCACCATGCTGGTCCCGTTTAACAAATGAGCTATCATTTATCTTCGCGATTCATAGGGGAACAAATACCCCTAAACAAATAGCAGGCTAAGTTTTCAATTTGTTTGTTTTTACGACACGTTATTTTTGCTTTCGTGTCCCGGTACCGGGTCGCGCGCCCCGGCATTTGAGAAACGCTGAATGACTGAATTCTTAGTTCATTTACAAGAGAGAAGCTAGAAATAAGAGTATTATTAAAGAGTGTAGCCTGCTAAATCAACTCATTAAATTGTAGGCACAAAGTCAGTGCTACAACTTTTAGTTGCGTTCTAGCTAATCTAGGTGGGAACAATGTTCCATTTAAGCTGCGGGGTTGCGCGGCCGCGCAGCTATCTCACAGACGCCGCGCAGCAGTTTGAGTACCGCGCAGCAAATTTCCATGCAAGTGAGTGGGCAGTAAAATTTTGCGCACAAAAAATTGAAGCAGTAAAACAATGCACACAACTGTATGATTTTGCACACGAACCAACAAACCTTAGAGGGAACATTGGTGGGCAGTATAATTTCATTCGATGTTGTGTATGATTTGTAAATTCCCAGCACCCTAATTTCATTTATTCTTTAAAATTAAATATCGAAATACTTGCGCACATATAGTTTCATATGATCTATCATTGTACATGATTCTGTCTAAAGTGGGATTCAAATAATTAATTAAGCTGAATTTATTTCTATACGTGGTACCCTCATCGGAGAACATGAATAAACAGTCCACCAGTTAAATAACTGTATGTGGTACTAGGAGGCAATACACTAAACATATCAAAAGACATACCAAAAAACATTATTCATAAGAAAATTAATGGTATTTAAACAAAAAAAGTTTCTAGGTAAATATTTATTCCAGGTTCCAATTACAAGACAATATACTCTGCACAGTAACTATAAGATAAATTGATATTTTATTGATAACTGAGATGAAGTGATATTTTTTCATTTATGGGTACTCTTTTCACAACAAAACTTTATTTTTTAAATTCATGTATTCAATGCAAAAAAAAAAAAAAAAACAACAACAAAGAAAGAAACAAACAAACACCTTGTTGTCACTGTTCCCATATCGGAGACCAGCTGTTGATAACTGAGATGAAGTGATTTTTTTTCATTTATGGGTACTCTTTTCACAACAAAACTTTATTTTTTAAATTCATGTATTCAATGCAAAAAAAAAAAAAAAACAACAACAAAGAAAGAAACAAACAAACACCTTGTTGTCACTGTTCCCATATCGGAGACCAGCTGAGATGTGGGGTAGTTGGTGGGCATGATTAATAACACACAGACCTGCCCTCCGAGCCGCTGATAGAGCAGTAACACATAGGATATAAAACTCCACCTTTGACATCTGGGTATATCTCATCCTCTTCGTGGCAGGCACCCTGGTAGTCTCTGCACACTGGAAAATACAACAGAGCCGCAGTTAGAATGGTGGCGCCGTCGACCGGCAACTGGGATTTTACCAGAGTAATGGAGAAATAAAAAATTTGCATTGGTTATACATGTACCAAAGAAGTCGCGCAAAGAAGTAGCACTTAATAATTAGTAGCAACATACATAGCTCAGAAACTAGAGCATTCTGCTCTGACAGTACCATGTTCTGGTGGCACCATGTTAAGGTGGCACCATGTTCTGGTGGCAACATGGCCCTGGCCGTAACATGTTCTGGTGGCACCATGTTCTGGTGACAATATTTTCTGGTGGCAACATGTTCTGGTGACAATATGTTCTGGTGGAAATATGTTCTGGTGGCAACTTGTTCTGGTGGCACCATGGCTCTGGCAGTACCATGATCTGGTGGCAACATGTTCTGGTGACAATATTTCTGTGACAACATGTTCTGGTGGCACTATATGCTGGTGGCACTATATGCTGGTGGCACCATGGCTTTGGCAGTACCATGACCTGGTGGCACCATGGCTCTTGCAGTTTATTATAATGATTTCTAGAATTGACTCACGCGAGCTAATTTAAATTTACATTTTCTGTTTTGATGTCACCCCCCATACGAGGACGCCACATAAGGTAGTCTGCACCCCCCCAACACCCCTCCAGTGACGCTACCGCCCAACTCTATCCACCATTTTAAAATTAATCCCGCCACAAGATTACTTACGTGGGTCGATGCGCGCTGACAAATATTGAAAGTGGTTGTTCCTTGTGGTCTTGGTACAGCGAATCGTTGAACAGTCATGCGTATAGACCGCACCAACAGGCTTACACGTGCCATTGAACTCACAACCTGGTGGCAGGAATGAGATGGGTTCAACAGATGTTGAAGATAAGTTAATGTTATTCTAACTATGATGATTTGGAAGTAGCGGTGGACATATAATCTCAGCATGTGTGTATAAGTTGGATGACGTGTGGTCCAGTCGTGTCTAAGACATCCACGCGACCCACATTTATTTACAGCGAGAAATATTGGGGATAGCGCAAACAAATTGTAAAAAAAATGAAACGAAAAGCGTACAGTATGTGTTCATTTAATAAACAACACAGCGAATCAACTTTAAACCCACGCGCCCCATTTAACTCTGTATTGACTACACACCTACAGCCAGCTTAATGTTCACACTTCACTGTAACATGCGCATAGCTGCATACACATAATGTTGTAAATCTACAGTTATTTATCAGATTTGCCACGCGGGTAAAAACCGGACGACGATTAGCGGATAGATTTAGCGGTGGTCCAGTCATGTTATTAGACTTGGTGGTCCAGTCATGTCATTAGACGAAGTGGTCCAGTCATGTCATAAAACTAGGTGGTCCAGTCATCTCATGAGAATTGGTGGTCCAGTAATGTCATTAGACAAGGTGGTTCATTTAAAAAAAAATTAGAATTGGTGGTCCAGTCATTTCATTAGACTTGGTGGTCCAGTCATGTCATTAGACAAGGTGGTTCATTTAAAAAAAAATAGAATTGGTGGTCCAGTCATTTCATTAGACTTGGTGGTCCAGTCATGTCATTAGACAAGGTGGTTCATTTTAAAAAAAATAGAATTGGTGGTCCAGTCATTTCATTAGACTTGGTGGTCCAGTCATGTCATTAGACTAAGTGGTCCAGTCATGTCATTAGAATAGGTGGTCCCGTTAAGTCATTAGTCTAGGTGGTCCAGTCATGTCAATAGACTTGGTGGTCCAATAATTACATTCGACTGGGTGGTCCAGTTACGTCATTTAAATAATCTGCTATGACGCCACATATCTTCGTGTACACTAGTATTCTCTCCGACCTATATTCTTGTACACTAGTATTCTCTCCGACCTATATTCTTGTACACTAGTATTCTCTCCGACCTATATTCTTGTATACTAGTATTCTCTCCGACCTATATTCTTGTACACTAGTATTCTATCCGACCTATATTCTTTTACACTAGTATTCTCTCCGACCTATCTTCGTGTACACTAGTATTCTCTCCGACCTATATTCTTGTACACTAGTATTCTCTGCGACCTATATTCTTGTACACTAGTATTCTCTCCGACCTATCTTCGTGTACACTATTATTCTCTCCGACCTATCTTCGTGTACACTAGTATTCTCTCCGACCTATATTCTTGTACACTAGTATTCTCTCCGACCTATATTCTTGTACACTAGTATTCTCTCCGACCTATATTCTTGTATAATGGTATGCTCTTCGACCTACCATCTTGTACAATGGTATAATATCCATGGTTCAACCTATGTTCTTGTGCTTTATACTCCCCAACCAACTTTCTTGTGCAATGGCGTACAATCCGACCTACTATCTTGTACATTGGTATACACTACAACCTCATTTCTTGTACAATGGTATAACCTAATTTCTTGTACAATGGTATACTCTCCGACCTACCTTCTTGCACAAGGCTATAGTCTCCGTCGTTACATTTGTACCGCAGACAACGGGACTGGCCAGGTATGGAGAAAATATCTTTGTCACGGTACAGTCTCCCTTGTACAAGACACCCCTCTGTAAGAGGAGAGAAATGGGATGCGAGAGAAGGGGAAAGATATGTAAGGGATCAATGGCTAAACAAAGGGACATTATTTACGCAATGGAAGAGTCCTGCCCACTGACAGCCTATAGTGGCTAGTGAGAAGCTCGCTGTTGCGTCAGAAACATGTCCGTCTGGCGACCATTTGGCTATATTACGTGTGACAAGTTAACTACTTAGCTGTTAGGGTTACTGACATACATGGCATTTTTGTTGTCAAATGTGAGACAGAGAAAGAAAATGATGCGCCTTATTTTGTAATTGGAAAATGAAAAAGAGAGTCGACCGAGCCAAATGTTTTTTTCGAAGTTATAAAATAAAAGGAATGCATGTACACGGCTCCAGAATTGGACCTTAAAAAGGTGTCACCCAGAGTCTCCAGAGCAGAACAGATCAGACTCCATCTCTCATGTCCACCGCTGTCGACGTTATTTGACCGTGCTTAGTCAGTCATATCCTGTAGTGAGATCTACCCCTTGTGGTTACAACGTTAAGTTTGCCATTGTTTGCAAGGTGAAAGAGCTTGAGCGAAAACAACTCTTATTGCAAATAGACCTGCCTCGATTTACTTCAATAAACAACTTAGGCCAGGTCTTCCTTCTCGGGTTTTATGTCAAATAAACTTCCGGGGAAGGTTCTAAACAAGCCGCTTAATCATCTGGTGTTCACGGAGTGATCTCGGTAAAGTGATTTGATTTTCGTGTACAATGTTAAAGTATCATTTCTTTTGGTGGCTATTTAAAAAAAAAAAAAAAAAAAAAAAAAATTTTATAATCTAATATAATATAAAGTAAATTAACGTATTTTTCAGAAACAAGAAAGTTAATTTACCCCAACCATTTATCTTTTATGTCTGTTATTTCCCCTTGAAATTCTCTGCCCTTTTGGTGTATGTCGGTGTGGAACTTTGAGATTTCTGACATTTTACTTGAAATGTCGGAATGGGAACAAATTGAAAAATTTTTTTTTTTAAATCTAAAAACTCACCTTCTCTCTTTACACGATGGTTCTCAGTAGGTGCTGTGTGTGCAACCCCCAACACGATCATCAAAACCAACACGGTCGAATACAAGTCTTTCTGAAAATGTATTTCATAGATCTTTGAGCACAAGCCAAGTATTAACACTTTAAAAAAACCAAAAAAAAAAAAAAATTATGTTCAAAAAGTCCTTGAAATCTTTATTATTTTTGTCTCTAACCTTAAATTGTAAATATGATTTTTTACAAAATTTTAATTATTGTGCCAAAAAAAAAAAAAACACAACAAAAACAGCGAATCTCGGCTTTAAAAACTAAACTCTTGTCCAAAAGACTAACAACTACCATGATTTCTGTTCTATCACAGTCTCAGCAGTCTACCAACATGAAGATGACCAACCACACCACAAGCCCTGCCTTTATATCGCTCCGCACAATGGCCGCGTAATGGACATTAATCATCCGCTAGTGTAAGCTTCCAACATGGGCTTCTGCGACAACGCAGTGGTGTAGAGAAGTGGATAGAATATAATTATTATACCGTACCCTTCAATTCTGATTGTGTTGTAAATAGCAGTGGGAGAGATGTTCATGAATCAGTTTGAGTAAATCTTAATGATTAAAAAAAAAATCACCTGCAGAAATGATGTCGAATTTTATTTTTTCGTGTAGGTTGGGGTGGGGGTGGAGTTAATCAGCACAAAGCATTTCTTAGTACTGACACATTTGTTTTACTTTGCTATATATGTTATTGTTAACTCCAGTTTCACAAGTGTACCAATGTCTCTCTCTCTCTTTCTCTCTATCTCTCTCCTTATATCTCTCTCTATATATCCCCCCCCCCAAACAGCGTATGATAGGAAAAAGGGGTGGGGAACTATTGCCAAATACATGGGGAGGTGGCCCACCAGGGGCGTGTAAATACCAACCCGTGTGTTACCGGGGGCGCACAAAACTCAATTTGAGGACCACGGGGTTTGAGAATCTATGATGGAGAGTGCGTGGTATGGCACCTGACCGCAGTTCCAAAAAAAATGAGAGTGACGTATGTGAACAACACTAACTTAACCTTTTTTTGTTGTTGTTGAATTCTGTCATGTACGTTTGCTTGTTATAGAATCACAGCGCCCCCAGTTGTCCTGGTGAAATAAAAATTATAAAAAAAAATGATACTCATTTCATTGATGTATAGTTTTTAGTGTGACGTCATGAAACTCTGACGCCATCTGTCTCTCGTCATTTCCTGTCTGCTCAGTGAATTATCTAAATTTATGTGTCATTGATGGCGCCAGGGTTAAAACAAACTTCGTATTAATCCGCAGATTAAGTTATCCCAAACAATGTCTCGTGTGGCTGTAGACGGTGGTGTTTGTGGTGGAGGATTGCCAAAAGCAACTTGTTCTTTAAAAAAAAAAAAAAGCGGAAAAAAAAAAAAAAAAAAAAAAAAAAAAAAAAAAAAAATCTATGAAACTTAACTAAAGTTCTAAGCTCTTGTTGCATTGGCGTAGGAAGGGTGGCGTTAAGGGTCGAACTTATTGCACTGACGTAGGGAAGGGTGGCTAGGAGCTCAGACACTGAGAAGCGTCAGGAACCTTGACCCCCAGCTGTTGGCAATGGTAACTTTGATATTGAACCATCTGTCTTAAGTTTTTTTCTTCTTTTTTTTGTATCATGTCGAAATATGAATAGAACACAATCCGAAGTATACATTGTATTCAATTATTACAGTAAGAATAATTATGGAAATAAATCAATGCCCCACCCCCCTCCTTTTCACCACACCCTGGCCAATATAACCACCCTGGCCAATATAACCACCCTAGCCAATATAACCACCCTAGCCAATATAACCACCCTGGCCAATATAACCACCCTAGCCAATATAACCACCCTAGCCAATATAACCACCCTGGCCAATATAACCCTTTTTTATAGTTTACACTTAGAAATGTTATCGGAGACGTTAGAAAATAAACATATACCAGGTAATTATTAATTACAGAAAGTTCGAGAAACTAATATAAAAAAAAAAACTGAATATTTTTAGTAGCAGGATCAAGTTGAAGATTAACTTTATTTGTCCCATTTAATCTATCCCCAGTCCTTAATGACCCCAGTGATCCCATCGGGCCACTGCCAGGAAGGAAGTGTCCTGGAACAACGGAATATTTCATGTCAAATCAAAATTCATCCTTGAGCGCATAATGGCTCCACAACTTCCTGGTCGGGCACCATTGCCTTAATTGGACGTGCTGTCCCTCTCTTCATTGATTTGACTATTTAATTTAACCAGGAGTGTGGGGGGCTGGAAACAAGTGTGTGTGTGGTATTATGAAAATGACCCGGTTTTATGGGAAAATTTCCGACGACATAGTGCAGGGTCGGCGCTACCATCTAGGGTTGATAAGGATGCCATCTAGGGCACTACCATCTAAGGTTGATAAGGATGCCATCTAGGGCACTACCATCTAGGGTTGCAAAGCAAACCATCTAGGGCGCTACTATCTAGGGCTGCCAATCAAACCATCTAGGCCGCCACCATCTAGGGCTGCCAAGCAAACCATCTAGGGCGCTGCCATCAAAGGTTGCAAAGCAAACCATCGGGACGCTAGCATATAGGGCTGCTATAAGCAAACCATCTAGGGCGCTAGCATATAGGGTTGCTAAGCAAACCATCTAGGGCGCTAGCATATAGGGTTGCTAAGCAAACCATCTAGGGCGCTAGCATATAGGGTTGCTAAGCAAACCATCTAGGGCGTTAGCATATAGGGTTGCTAAGCAAACCATTTAGGGCCCTATCACCCGGGGAGAACAACTCCAGCCACTCCTTTTTAACGTAGACATTAATAACAATGGGCTTTTGTTGCACACAATGGATCCATTACAATACCCATCATATTACACGTTGATGCATTTGTGTCATCTTTCTTTTAAATTACTTAAATTTTTTAAAATCAATTTCTCCTTCAAAAAATGTGTTTTATTTGTAGAAGAAAAGACGATCTGGTTCCGACTTCCTCGTGTGGATACAACAAATGGATCATTTGGTTTCAGCTCACTAATTTTGACATATTATTTTCAAAAAACTATAGTACGAACTATTCAATAATATAACCAATGCTTCAGTTTAATCCTATTAGATTTTGGCTCTGATTTCATTTATGGCACCAAGCTTTCAAATTACGGTTAGACGGTCAGGCGAACGGACGGTTAGACGGACAAGCAAACGGAAGGCCAGAGCGCCATTTAATAATTTAGCTCGATATTATTAATTTTTATGATAATAAGTGGGGGGGGGGGGAAGGACTGCAATCAGGGTTAGGTAGCAGGAAATGTGCGAAACCAGGTATGGGAAAACGCGAAAAAAAGATGCGACAAAACAAAGATCGTGTCGGCAAGATATTAATTTTTATGATAATAAGTGGGGGGGGGGGGGAAGGACTGCAATCAGGGTTAGGTAGCAGGAAATGTGCGAAACCAGGTATGGGAAAACCCGAAAAAAAGATGCGACAAAACAAAGATCGTGTCGGCAAGAAGCCTTCTTCAGCAAACAAAGACTAACACAAATTAAATATATATATATATAATGAAATGTAACAGACATGTTGTATCGGAGATGTTATGTTGAATCGGAGATGTTATGTTGTATCAGAGATGTTATGTTGTATCGGAGATGTTATGTTGTATCGGAGATGTTATGTTGTGTCAGAGATGTTATGTTGTATCGGAGATGTAATGTTGTATCAGAGATGTTATGTTGTATCAGAGATGTTATGTTGTATCAGAGATGTTGTATCGAGAGGACAGGTAGACCATTAGTAGGCAAGAGAGTTAACGTAGTAACGTAGGCGAGAAAAAGAGAGGTGGGGAGTAAAATATTTAACAAGTGAAGGGTTGCATAATATTCATGTCATGGGGTGTCACGGTCCCATAGGCGCAGGTCAGTTTGTTCTCTAAGTTCACCCTGGCGGGCGTGTCCAATGGCTTGGTCCCAAAGTG